AACCACCGGTCGATCGACATGGGAAAATCGACTGTCTTGGATCGGCTCTTGGAACAAGTTCGCTGATCCTGTTCAACTTTGTCTGGAAGTAAGCTGTTGAGAGCAAACCGGAAGGTCGCATATTAACAACTGCATAGTCAAGCACCGAGTGTCGGCTGGTCAACTCCCTATGAGATTGTTCTCCTGATCAGCTCAATGGTCTTATTCGGGGGTTTCCTGCTTTGGGAAAGGAACTATACTGCGGAGCCCATCATGCCACTCGATATCTTCAAAGCTCCATCCTTCCTCATGCTGCTCTTGGTCGTGCTCCTAAATTATATGGCCGTGGGAACCTTGATCTGGTACCAGGTCCTATGGCTCCAAAAGGTCTGGCACTGGTCTCCCCTGCAATTTGCCGTGGGCTGGACCCCATTCGTAATCTGCGCCACGGGCGCGGCATGTCTCGCAGCGTGGATGATCCCGCGGATGGCAGCACAATGGATCCTGGCTATCGGAACCATCACGATCTTAATTTCCAATGTGCTCATGGCGACCGTGCCAATCCATCAATCCTACTGGCCCCAGATCTTTCCTTCCGTGGTCCTCTTCTCATTCTGCCCGGACTTTGTGTATACGGCTGGCCAAATCATTGCCAGCAACTCTGTCCGTCGAAATCAGCAGGGGATTGCTGCGTCTGTCATTGGCACACTGAACCTATACGGAAACAGTCTCGGACTGGGTTTTGCATCCACCATCGAGGTGGAAATTGCCCGGCGCTCGGGTAGCCAAATCATGGGGTATCGAGCGGCACTTTTCTTCGGTGTTGCCATCAGTGCCATAGCACTTATACTTGATGTGTGCTTTGTTCGACTGGTTAAAGATGATCGGGAAGGCTGGCATGAAGATGATCGTATGGAGGAAATTGAACTGACGGAGCAAGCCGAAGCGTCCGGTGTCCATCTCCCCAATGTAAACCACTAGGAACTAGACTGGGAAACCGGAAATGTCGGTAGACCGAACGTGGGGTGCCGGACAAATGCCGGTTGAGCTTGGACTGTAAAAAGCCTCAGCTAAGTGGAGAGAAGGTCGAGAATCGATTTGTCAAACTTTTTCTCGTATGACGTCCACGATACGCCAAGCCGTATGCCCCCGGTTTGACATCGAGTGTCGTATGTTGTGTATAACCTTCCCCACGTTACATATGTTAAACCCAAACTACCATAGCTTTCAAGGTTTGCGGGGATATGATCTCCGTAATGAGTCCGGTGAGAGAAAGGAGATAGGAAAAGTGAAAAGACTGCGGAGAGGCGGGGAAGTTGTAAGGGATTGGCCATAAGCTGTATGCCGAGCTTGTATTCCGAGTGGATATCGGCTTTTCTGACTTTTCTGAGTTTGCTGGCTTTGCTGGCTTCTTTTCGTTGGCCGGTTTCTTCCGTTTTGTTGGTCTTTTGTGGGGTTTTCGGTATTTTTCTTGTGTCCCGTGGGAGCCAGTGAAGGCCGAGAGCCCGTGAACACCGCGATCCCGTGACCACATGACCCCCAAAAACTTCCCGTGCCGACGCGATGCCACGGGGTGAACTTTCGAGTGAACTTTGCCCCTCACATTCCACTTTAGTCATGTCCAATCAGATTCCTCCCTCGGACTGTCTGCTGTTCTCGGATGCCAAGTCGGTCAAGTCCACTGTGCCCCCCCGCGTACGATATGCATACGATGGGGCGTGGGGGTACCGGGGAAAAATACTAGCGTGGGATGAACCATGAGAAGGCCTTTTGTTTTCTCTTAAATGCAAGAATCTGCTCTTGTCTGATCCCCGGATTATCTGGCATTGCTTACCATCACACACATACAAAAACAATGGCAGACGATATCTCACGGGAAAGCCGTGACCGGATAGAGGTCGAGGCCGAGAAGGAACGGGTTGAAAATGTCGAACACATTGCCCAACCACAGCAAGGTGGCCTACCTCAGATGGACCCAGCTCGCCGGATAGTTGTCGAGAAGCAGCTTATGCGCAAGCTCGATGCCCGGTGCAGCCTGTTTGTCGCGATCTACAGTGAGTACCCTCTTTCCCAGCGTCTCGTCTCTGTATACATAGACGGCATGTGACTGACCACGTTGCTTTGCAAAAAGTCATGAATTACCTCGATAGAAACAATATGGCTGCTGCTCGTCTCAAGGGTCTGCAGGAGGATCTCAGTCTGAGCAACACCGAGTACTCGACATGTTTGAGTATCCTCTATGTCGGCTACATCATCATGCAGGTACCTTCCAACATGTTGATCAACCGCATCAGCCGGCCCTCGCTCTACATTGCCGCGGCTATGTTAGGGTGGGGTCTTATCTCCACCTTGTCTGGCAACACTAAGAACTTTGGTGACATGGTGGCTGTTCGTTTCCTACTGGGTTTCGTCGAGGCAGCCTTCCTGCCCGGAGCCCTGCTCATCCTCTCGAAGTGGTACACACGCCGCGAATTGACTACCCGGAACGCCATCTTGTTCTGTGGTAACCTCATCTCTAATGCATTCTCTGCACTGGTTGGTGCCGGTGTCCTATCCAACATGCAAGGCGTCCTGGGCCATGCCGCGTGGCGCTGGCTCTTCTGGATCGAAGGCGCGGTGACTATGTTCCTCGCCATCCTTGCCGCGTTCATCTTGCCCGATCTGCCGCACAATGCGCGTGGCTTCACTGAGGAAGAGCGTCAAGTTGCACAACTGCGCATGATTGAGGATGTCGGTGAGGCTGACACTGATAGTGAAGAACTCGGTGCCTTTGGGGGACTAGTCATGGCTCTCAAAGACTCCAAGATCTATGTGATGATGTTTACGTTCGTAGCATACGTGGTCGGACTCAGCTTCAATGCTTTCTTCGTAAGTCTTTCGTATCAAACAACCAATTGGAACCTTTTACTGACTTGCTTCATAGCCTACCCTCACTGGTACCCTCGGATTCGGGTATGTCCCGACTCTGCTGATGAGCGCTCCTCCGTGGGTTTTCTCCTGCATTGTTTCCGTCATCAACGCCTGGCACGCGGACAGAACACAAGAAAAGGTCTGGCACATCTTGGGCCCTATCGCCATGGGTGCCGTTGGTTTCATCATCTGCATGGCCACCAGCAACGTCGCAGCTCGCTACGTCGCACTATTCCTGCAAGCGGGGTCCTACGCAGGATTCATTGTATTCTATTCATGGATCAGTTCCTCATTCCCCCGCCCTCCCGCCAAGCGAGCCGTCGCCATTGCCATGATCAACGCCTTCAGTCAACTGGGCAATGTCGCTGGTTCGTACGTTTGGGACTTGGAGGACAATGGATTCCGTTCCAGCTACGGAATCGTGCTGGCCATGTTCGGTGTCACAGTCGGCGGATGCTGGTATTTCCGCTCGTTGCTGCTCGGCTTGAACAAGCAGCTCGAGGAGGGTGAGCTTGCCGATGTTGGTAGAGAGGGGGCGACCGAGAACGATATCCTCGAGCACCCAGACGAGTCGTTACGTATGCGCAAGGGCTTCAGGTATCTCGTTTAAGTGTTTCAATGTACGAACCAGGTGTTCTCGTTTTTGTTCAAATTACATAGTCAGCACCGGAACTTAGGTTCCCGAACAATTCAATTGCTCTCAACACAACCATGCGAGTAGACGTCTTGCTCTTCGTAGACCATAACTGAGGAGTCCTCGGAAGTCCTATCAATTCTCTCTTTAATCGTGCCAGGCGACCGACACCTACCTACTTCCCGCTTTTGGTGCGCGACACTAAAGAATAATATCCGCTGGATGATAATTCTCGAAATTATTACTTGGATGATAGGCCTATGCAGAAGGTATATAATAACCATAGTATCCGCTTTTCTCAACTATCATTCTACTGTCACATGAGACATAGCAGCGACTTTTGATATCAGGTCGAGAAAAGAGGAAGATCGGATATATCCTCTAATTCTACTTGACTCTAAATCTAGTTCTATCGGTCCTCCCGAACCGAATCGCGGTATTGGTTATTAGGATCCTGCTCCTCTTCTTCTGCGGATGGAATCGTCTTCTTCACGCGGCAAGGGGTGCCAACGGCTACAGAGAACGGGGGGATATCCTTGGTGACAACAGATCCAGCTCCAATTGTTGAGCCCTGGCCGATTCGCACTCCGGGAAGAATAATCACATTGCTTCCGATCCAGCAGTCGTCTTCGATAAAGATCGGATGGCCGAACTCAACGAACTTGCGGCGAGAAAGAATGCTGGTATCATGGCCCGCGGTGATGATACTAACCCCAGTGCCAATCTGTACACGGTCGCCGATGACGACCAGGCTGGTGTCCAGTATGGTAACGCTAGGAATTGTTAGTAAGTTTCAATAAGTCGCGGGAAAGAAGCAGACTCACTTCCAGTTGAAGAAGCAATCCTTTCCGATTATAATATTGCATCCGTAGTCTGGCAAAAATGGTGGCTCGATGAATGTTCCATCTCCAACCTTGCCTACGAGTTTCCGCAATAACTCAAGACGCTTCTCGCCGATCTTGTCATATGCCACGGTCTTTGTGTCCACATTGTTGAAGTCTGCAGCGAGTCCCCGGCACACATGCCGCGCCTCTAGGAGTTTCGGGACGTTAGGGTTGTACCTAAAGAGTTAACAACCATCTTGTAAGGTTGTAAGTATATCGTGAATGATACATACATCATGCCAGATACCATACGCTCATAGTCCTCGCAGAAGGGCACTCCTGCCAATCCCCGAGCAAGCTCGATGATCTCAGGGCGTTTCTCAGTAGCTGCCATTTTGTATAAAATATCGATAAAGACCAGAGAACACTGGGATACCACAAGATATATGGACCCGTCACTTTCAAGCGGGGTGATTTCCCGACAATTCGCCGCTGACAAGGTGGAGAATGCCAAGAAATGGCGGGCCTTCCTATTTGGGTATAACCGCCAATTTATCCTATCGCCTCGTATGAGCACTGATAGTGCCAATATTGTACTGGTAAAAGAGCAAATTCGCCACATCAGGAGATACCTGTACAGGACCCACAGTGTACTACGTATCAAACTTGCGAATGCGCCTCACGACTTCCTCCACATCGACCCAGATCCGCTGTCGATTCCGCAACCCCTTGAGCTCGTCCCAATGGAGTTGGATTTGCATGAGTACACGACGCCAATCAGTGTTCACTTTAGGCAATTTCACCTGGTCCGGCATGGCCACTGAAAGGGGAAATCGACACTCAGCAGCTCTGTGGGCGGCATCCTCTGTGTGAGAATCTTCACACAATGCCCTGGCATAGATACTCCGTGCCCTAATTAAAGAGTTGATCTCGGCTGTTGTTATATTGGTCCAGAGTGAAGGGTAGTGCATGCATTCGGATTCATCCCAGGCTTCCCATAACCAAGGCATTTCTCTGCGTACTAGTTTGTACCACACACTGTTTGGGAGTCCACTGAATGCCTTGGAAGCAATACTTAGACTGGTGATATCACTAGAGCCCAAATAGTCGATAATCATGAGCCGAATTTCCGCGGGAAGGAAAGAGAGAAAGTCGCCCTGGCTGTTGCGGGATGGGGGAGATCGGTTCGTCGCGGATTGAGACCTCTCAATCTCATAATACGGGTCACATGAGGCACACGATTCTTCGTCCTTCACCGCGGCCAGAAGAATCCCTGGTAAACCGGGCACATAGAGGGGATTGGCAACCAGATACTCGGTACCAGGCTCATGGGACCACCACTGCTGCTGTGAACTCTTAACCTCCTTGGCTCGAGGAAATGATCCAAAGGCATCCCAGTCAAACTCGGCATTACGCCAACTCATCAGTCCTGAAACATTGACGTGCTGAAACTGGACTTTGGATTGTCGACAGAAGATATCAAAGCACCACGGATGGAACGGCATGGCTATATCATCTGGTGTTGTCTCTGGCACCTTACAAGTGTTAGCTCTGGGCTGTGCCTCCGAGCCAGTTAAAGAACGCATTTGAAAGATATACCTACCCCAAAGTTCACATTGTCCGTCTCTACATCCTCTATTCCATTGCGCACGGGCCGCACTGTTGGGATGCCTATATCGCGCGACGGTGTTCCGTCACAAATCCCGGATAAAGACCAATCCCCATTGACCTCCCATGGCTCATGTAGCTGATCAGCCTGCCATTGATCCCGTGTGGAGGCTTTATGCACCAGGAACTGTGCGGTGCGACAGCCTCTCGCTTCTTCAGGTGAGATAGCATCAGCCGAGTAGCCGGACATCGGACTATCAAAATATCCAACACGCAGTTCGGGATCTCTCCTCGTGGCACTCCACGGATCAAAGGTCTGTAAGACCCAGTTGTAATACATTTGACCTTCGGATTCATTATTTGCATCAGTACTGCTGTCTTCCCTGTCTTCCATGTGCGCATCTTCGCCAAGGCTCATGCCGTCGGTTGATTCGTAATCGGAGTCATATTCAAATGGCTCATTGTCGGCACAATCTTTATCGGATTGATAATCAGGATCCTGAGCCCTGTCGTCATTATCTGTAGAATAAACAGTGTCTGTCGCATCGCATTGGCCGGCGTGAGGACCGGACACGTCCAGCTCCCCAGATTTTAGGCGAAAGATGATGTTGAAGCTCACGCCACAAAGATGGCAGTAGAACTAGCAAGCTGTCAGATATCTTGTCTACTTATAGAAGAAAAAGACTGTACCTCGGAATAACCTACACCGTTGTCAGTCATAGATTCACAGGATTGCTTTGCGCCGGGTAATGTAGCTGTCCACTTACCCATTTGTTTTCCAATTGATCAGGAATTTAAAAGATTTTGGTATCTGGACTCCCTTCCTGACCGTTCAACGAAGAGATAAAAAGGGAAGTAAAAGTGCAAAGTGGTCACTTTTCCTCGTATCCACGGCCCCGTTTTAGACTAGACCGATCCTGATGTCTCTGATTGGTCGGTCAATCTGAGGCGATCTGCTAAAAGGCCATAGTGTTTAGAGTGTCCGAATTTCTAGTTATTTTAGATATTTGAATTTCTTCTCTGTCTGATAGACCCTCAAGGGTAGTCTACCGACTTATGATGTACATTAACTTCATCCGCATCGAGCGTTTCACGTCGGACAGCATCGACATCAAATGCAGCCTTGCTGTGGAAAATAGTTTCCATCTCTTCAAGACTTTTCCCTTTCGTCTCTTTGACAAATAAGAATACAATAATCGCCATGATAATATCCAGGACCGCGTAGAAGAGGAAAACGTAACTGCCCCAGGAATCCATCATGTAGCGCGTCACCAGGGAGAAAAGGAAGTTAAAAAGCCATTGTGTTGATACTGCGACCGAGGTTCCGACCTCCCGAATTCGTGTTGGGAAGATCTAGCATGCTAGTTAGTGGTTGGACTGGTGACAGAAGCATAGTATTACTTACCTCGGCAGTGTATGGCCACGGCAATGGGCCCCAACTGAATTGGTAGATCGAGTTGGTCAGGAAAATCATAGCCACCATGCCAATACCAGCCGGGGTGGCTTTTGCATCGGGCTTTGGCGTGGTTTCCTTGACGACTGTGACAATGATGAAGCAACCGGCCATCAACAGAGCTGAAATCCAAAGGGTCGGCTTGCGTCCCCACATCTCGGAGAAGAACAAGATGTAGATGCCAACAGTGACGAACTTTTCAGCACCAAAAAGCCCAGTGATGAGAAGGGACTGGTTAGTGTTGTTGCCAACTAGCAGTTTGAAGAACTGGGGGCCGAAGTAAGCCAGTGCGGTCATTCCAGTGCACTGCTGACCACAGAACATGAAAAAGGCGAGGAGCAGTCTGTAGCGGTTGGCGGGCTCGAGGAGTTCTCGTTTATTAAAGCCCTCGGTTGCTCGTAGCTCTTCCTCGAGTCCGACTCGGATTTCGTTGAATTCTGCCCTCACTTCAGAGCCTATTGAGTGACGATTAGCCCTGTGCCCCGTATCTGGGGGATATATCCTTACCTTCACTGGCTCGCATCCATTTCAGGCTTTCCCATGCTTCATCAAATCGGCCTCTTTTGGCCAACCAGCGTACACTTTCTGGCATAGCACACAGCCCCAGTCCGAGAACTCCAGCTGGCACCATCTGGAGACCAACCGGAATCTGCCACTGCCTTGAAGAGACGGGCAGTGTGATTTTCACGGCATAGTCGATCCAGTAGCTCAACATCACACCCAGCGCAAAGAGCCATTGCATCCCTGATCCGAGCTTGCCTCGAATTTCCTTAGGTGCCATTTCGGCATTGTATGCTGGGACGACCGCAGTTCCTGCACCGAGACCGAGACCAGCAACAAACCGCCCGATATAGAAACAAACGAGGGAGTGTGATGGTACCACCTGCAGAACCACACCGAGGCAGAACACAGTCATGGCTGCCTGCACTGTTTTCTTCCGCCCGTACCGTTCGGACACCGAGAAGATAGATAAGGCGGATAGGAATGCGCCTACATTTTGCAAGCTTACCATCACAGCGCTGACGGTTGTCTGGTCCTTGTAACTAAAATCATCGATGTAGGACTTGAACTCGAGGATACCACCTATCCGTCAAGACTGTTAGTGATGACCACTAACCAAACGGGCTTTCCTTTTCACTTACCAACAATTCCAGTGTCATATCCGAACAGGAAACCGGCCGTACAGACGAAGTATCCGAAGAAATACGCTCGGAAGGCCCCGAGCCTGGTTCCTGGTAACCCCATGATGTGCGACGTAGTACTCACAGACTACGAGGACACGGAAGAAAGAGAGAATAAAACCGTGAGGGGTGAAGAAAAAACGCACCCAGACGCATCTCGAAGCCTTTAAATCTAAGCTCTGCAAGGGTTGATTATCCGATCCGTATTCCACGAGCTCACATAACAGCACGCAACCTGTAGTGTCGAATACGCCATAGCACGCCATAGCCCCAAACATCCTGCCTATCATTAAACAGGAAGACCAAAGGTCCAAGGGCCAAGGGGGTGCCAGACAAATAAGAAACGCCATGTGGCATTTAAAATTGGAATTTGTCTATATAGCTACTCCTTTCCCTTTTAGTGCTCAGTCCCTGCCGCTTTTGGCTCCCTGGGTAAGTCTGAGAACGCGGGGCCCCGGTTTATGGCAAATTTCCACTCTTTCCCATACAATTTTCTGCCAGGAAATATCCATCACTCCTTCACCTTCGATGACCTTGGCTTCAACAATATCATACACCGAGATCGAGGCGAGGCGAGAGATGATATGATGCAAGGTAGGCAGCTGGTTCCACCCAAGGCCTTCGATCTGAATATTTCCTTGAGATGCATTGAGCACGCGGGTAATTTTGGTGGGCACATTTCGTGGCTCCTCTGCGTAGAACACTGGATATTCCGCCTCCGGGTTGCCCTTTCCCTCTCGGCCCACAGATGGCATATGGGATGTACCAAATACCCGGATCCACAAACACGGCTTCAGTTGATGCAGTCTTCTCTGCCTCAGCAAGACCAGTCAATGCCATCCGTCCCCACGTTGTGCCTCTCCAGCTTGTGGTAATAAGAAAGACCCTTGCCGCTTATTGAAAACCTTCGGGCATCCAAGCTCTTCTCTTCCGGAGATGATATAATCCGTGAGATCCTCGAACATAATCGGAAAGTATGTTCCTCGGGTGATTTCTCCATTGGCTTGCTAATACTCAATGTCGTGTATGTAGAGCCCCATGTGGTTATATCCTCCTCCTGCAAGCCAGTCCAAGCCATCCAAAGCGGTCAGGGGGAATCTTGCGTAGGCCACACTGCCGTGTCCGGAGAAGCTGTATGCGGAGTTAGGCAAAATGTTCTTCAGCAGAGTCCGACTAGTTTTTATCTTAATAGCAGCTGCGCAGAAGCTAGCCTTTGCGGATGCGAAAGCTCGGCTACGACCCCAAAGGTCCTGGCGAGGGCCGCCGGGCATTGGGCCAAATACAGATGGCTGCCGGTAATAAACCTCGGGATTTTGAGCTCCCTGATTATCTCAAATGTTCGGTAGCGAAGTCGAATTCGTCAATCTCAGACAGCATTTTCATAACTTTAAAAAACAGAACATCAGCTCACAATCATTCGTTGGGGAGCCAACGGGAAGTGGAAAACTTAGGGTGAAGTAGATCACAATGTTGAGAAGAACGAAGAACATACCTTTGTCCATCGGCAAGTGGCTTCTTCTAGACTCCTGGTATATTCCTGAATTCGGGTGACTCGTCCGTGACGTGCCCTTTCATAAAGCTTCAATCGTTCAGGAATCTCCTCCTTGGGAACATCACCCGGGAGTAGAACGCCCAGAGCAATACTATCTTCGAGTGCCATGGCACCGCCAGATGCGCGATAAGGTAGGAATGGATGAGCTGCATCTCCAATCAATGCTAGGCGGTGATCAACCCAAGTTGGGAGGGTCTCCATGCCGAGGAGAGGCCAAACTTTCAGTGTCTACGCAGCCGCTTTCACCAAAATTTTGCGATCGACAGGATCATAACTTCCGTAGACCTCAAGTAATTTGTCCTTACCAACGACCTGGTCCCAGCCTCCTGATACTCCAATGTTAGTGAGATTGTCGGGGTGAATGCAAACAAAGTCGAGCATTTCATTGCTGACGCAGGGGTACTCGCTATCGGAGCTGTGCCACATGTCGACAGATCCCAAATCTCGCATCAGATGAGTAGTCTCGGGGTCATCAAGGACTTCCTTGCGCGAGACCAAGAATCGCAAGGCATTTTTGCCTTAACTGAAGGCCTGCTTATCAGAACCGGCAACGTGACGCCGGGCCACAGAGTGCAACCCCATCAACACCGATAACAACATCAATACGTATCTCCGTCCATCCTCAGGGATGACAGTGGCAGTCTTTGCATCAACGTCAGTGACCTTACTCCAGGTATGCAGAACCGCAGGCTTTCCCTTCTCGGGGCCCTTGCTTGGTCTTGTTAGTCAGTCGTTCGTGAATGTGAGCACGGTGAATGAGAAGCCATTCCTTGTAACCATTGTCAGCTTACTCCCTACAGCCCAGGAAAGACAATTTCTCACGTGCTGCCAGGCACCGGAGAATTGCCTAATTCTCACAGTGGATACGAGTTTGCCACCGGGGGTTTAGTCTCGAATCTTTATTTTTAATTGTAAGTCTTCACATTGATCTTATACAGTTTTTCAAGGTTTTTACCTGCTCTGCTTGTACCCCACCATACTCAGAAGCGTTCACCCCAATCCTCTTCAGAAGACCGTTTGTATTGGGAGTAAGGTGAATGGCTGCGCCGACCTTGTTACCGAACCGAGATCGCTCAAACAGCTATTATCACTCGGTCAGCCGAACTGAATCTAAAGCTACGATCAACCAAGCCACAAAAGCGCTCTTACCTTGACTTCGTGGCGCTGCCGACGAAGAGCGATGGCTACCGCTAAGCTACTGATGCCGGCCCTGATAATGATCACTATCAAGCCCTTTGCAGGGGAGTTCACGTCGACCTTGCTTTCAGCGTTCATCTTCAGAGATTGACAAGGGCAAACGACGATCAAAACGGAGAAGAAGGCGCAATGGAAAAGAATACATTATTTTCCGCTGTGGGGAGCAGACTAAATGGTCGCAATGATCTACACTCGGCTCTATTGCTCATCGCATATTCCATAACGGATCCACCCCGTTGTATTGCCCCGGATTGAACGTTACAATCCGATTCTGCAAATATATTCTTATGACACATGACAATTGAGTGGGATTTCAGGATTGGTAGATGCATTAAGACGTTTGGTTGTGGCCCTGGCAGTTCATTCCATTGAATACAGTTCAACAAACTAACATTAATTGATCGAACGAATTCTAGGGAAAGGTGCTCTAACTCAAATAAACACAAATATTAATAAAGCAGTTTTAAAAGCTAAATTTAAAGGAGATTAAGAAATATTAACAAATATATCTTTTAGTATAGAACTAGTCATTTTCGTCCATGCATGACTACTTCCGCCAGAAGCCCGGTTGGCTCTCCTTATCACCAAAGTAGTCAAGCATCTGAGGAGGCCGAAGATAGGAACCATGCCAAACAGCCATGTGAGCCCACTCAAACTGGTCATACGTATCAACGTAGTCGCTGACAGACATATACATCCATCCAACATCCTCCTCCTCTTCTTTCGTTGTCCCATCGTGCCAGTCAGGGTCAATTTTATAATTCCTCTCCTCGGGACTTAAATTGCCCCATTGCTTATACAAAACTTTAACGACGGGCTGATCCATATGGACCAAAGACTCCAAACAGATATCATCAACAAATAGGGCGAAGTTAAGCCGTGCTCTAAGAATGTATTCAGGTCCAGGAGTATAATTTTTCTCCTTCAAATGCTCTCCGACTAGCCTTTTCAGTGTTTT